ACTTCCAGCGCAATGGGTTCCAAACCCTAAAATTCCAGTTTTTCCATTAAAATTGAATGACTGACTTGGAGAGGTCACACGGCGTAAAAGCTTCTATGCTCACCCCCCTCAAAACCCTCAACTATGCCAGTGCTTTGGTGATGCAACGCGCATTTCTAAATCTAAACCAGTTTGGAAGATAATTGAGAATTCATATTTTTATTCTATCCAATTATTCAGGGTTTAGATGCAGTGAAAATGATGATTATTAGTTATTGTTCTATCTATTTTTTTTATTAAATGAATGCAGTACATCGATTCTCTTCAGTATTCTATACATTAAAGAAGATCCACCAATAAAAGTGAATTGTTCGCTTTTGTTAGTTATTATTACTTTGTAGTAAATGCACGCAGCACGCTTTTTTTTCCAGCTTTTTATACATTACGGAAAATCTAACAATTAAACAAAATTTAGATAGAATTTGACAATCTCGTTTTCGAAAATTCTTCGATAAATCCTCTGTTGTCATCTCTTCCAATGACGGGAGGTATTGTACATTGTTGTGAAGACGTTTTTCAACATATTTTTAAATAATCATTTTTTTTATCAATTTTCATACAATCTATTCATAAAAATATCAAAAATATAATTCAATTATTTCAAATCATCGAAAAACTTTAGTATTCCGTGATACAAAAAAAGCGACCTCTCTTGGATTTTTTTAATCAGCAACGGACGTTGATACCCAACATCTAGAACTTCTCTTGTTCCGATTGAAAAAAAAAAACGTTTATGTAACGCCATTGTCGTATATTTTCGCCGTTGCATTTACAACTGTTTATACATTCAGGCGCCAAAAAAAAACTGACTGAATGAAATTTAGTTTAACGGTCGTCATTTTCCCCGATTATTCCGCAAAAAAAAATTACATATCTCGACTTGAAATCGTTTTAGACATGCAAATCCGGGTAAAAGCTCTCGATCGGCATAATGAGGCGAGAATGTCAATCTTTGTCAAATTTCCGCCAATTGACTTCCCGTTAAATTCCGAACATAATAGGAAACGGAATATTATAATGGGCACTTTCGAGTTTACCTATTTTTACTAAAACGTCACAATATGCCCATGTCAATGTGGCTGCATGCGTCCTCGAGAGCACCGCTAACAATCGCAGCTTCCCTTTGCATTCATGTGCCGGATATTTCCGTTTTATTTGATTTCTATCGCGCAAAAACCGCATCAAGCCGCTGCTCACATCCAATGCATATCAAGTGGTTCGGTGTATATTTTTTTATGACTTCGTGTAATTGTTACAGTTGTTCAGGGTTCCCAACGGCAATGCTTGGAGCCAGGACGATCTTGGCTAAGCGGTTTTGGACTTTTAATTTACATTTTGGGTACATATATATATATATATATATATATATATATATATATATATATATATATATATATATATATATATATATATATATATATATATATATATATATATATATATAGCTAGCGACAAAAAACGTCTATTCAGTTTTACGACACGCCAGCATGTCAATAGTTTCGGTTAATTTGGATTCGATTTGCAATTCGTTGGCAAAGAGTGTGCAGAAAAGTTTAAAAAAGCGCCGTATATGGGCGCATTTATTCACACAAAAAGCTACAGGGGTAGAAAATTTCACTAATAACGATTCTTTTTTATATATAATCCGATAACATAACCTATCCATTTTCTTGCTGGACATCCTCTTCTTCTACTTGTTGGCTCATATTCCATCACTATCTTTCGCCAACTTTCAGGGTAATCCTCCTTTCGTGGTCAAACCACAATAGTTGTTATGTATCTACTGTATCTATAAACATTTTTTTGGTTTAAAGGACTTCTTTTGACTGTTCAAAACGTTGATTCGATGCCAGATGTGCATACACACATGCGTTTTCTAGGCGTATCTCTATTTTTTAGGCCACTGAATTCAAACAAGACGACACCGGCTGCTATAGCGCCGCAAAAGCAGCTTGTGTATGAACTGCATTGGACTGAAAATCTATTTCAAAAATAGCCCGAAAATTTAAAAAATGCCTATGGAGTCTCATGTTTTCTTATTATTCAATTATTGCTCGATTGATTTTCACTATAAAAAGGCGTGACCATATTTATCATAAGATTTAACTCTCAGATATGTATATATACACATGAAACCCAGTCTAAACTTGTAGACTTGTCTGCGTTATTTCTAAATTCTAGAAAACTATTTGTAAACTTCATACTACTATTTCCATATAACTACTAGTTGGTAGCTGATTTCCAATGCGTCAAAATCTTGACGATTCTTTTTAATGAAAACGTGAAAATTTGATGATGAGGTTGATTCATTAATCTTTGACAGCTGCCATCGAAAAATTCAATTGAAACGTTTTTGAATTCGTGCGTTATATTACACCCTCTCTGTAGTGAACTCGTACCTATCCTGATAAGAGGTAGACAGGTTTGAAACGAAGAGCAAAACATACGCGTATGCGTATACAAACCTTTAAACCAATAAGATTTTGCGACGTTCAACATGGCCGCTGACAGTTACAAAACAGAAAAATGAACATCGCTTTCAGGCATATAAGAATACACAAGCCGATTCACCCACAAAGAAAGAGAGACACGATATCCACGTGTGAAAGAAACTCTGGGGTTAAGAGATTAAGAGATTGCACAAACAGACTTACCTATTTGAATCGAATTTATAGTCATACAAGAAGCAGTGTTTAATGGAAGGTATTTTCACAAATATCGCTCAAATTTAAAATAGCTAAAAGAAACCCAAACACAAAAGAAAACAAAACAAAAATGGCCATGGCGCATAACTTCCGGCTGACAGTAATGTTAACAACAGTTACAACATAAAAATATAAAAACTTCACGTCAAAACTGTTATCCCAAATAATAAACAATAAAACACATAAAACACAAAAAACATAAAACTGTGATTTCTGATGTGAACGGTTGCTCAAATAAGTCTGTTTTGCCTTGCTCTTATGTATTTAACATTTACATAAAATGGAATATTTTCCTTCATTTTTCACAGTGAACTATATAGCTATCTGAAAATATACAATTCCGCCCAGACCCATATCGACCAAACCCACATTGCTTTCTCCCTTTCTTCGTGATGCTATGCTTTCAGGTATGATTTTATAGTAAAAATTTTGTCTTAAGTACAATTTCAACCCAGTAGTTCATTTAGTTCCTACCATATAGCTATTAGAGATGTAGAGGCCCTGTCTATGCGGATAATATAGGAACTTAGGAAGGAATTATGCAAAAAAAAAGTCCATTCAACATGATTTAAAATCTCATTTTTAATCAATGATCTTGAGGCATTTAACAACCAACATGACCGCTGACAGATCGTCAATAAGTTTGGATGCGGCATTTTTCCGGAAGTATTTTCTCAAAATATGTCTAGATCTCATTAAATGTTTAAGGAAAACGCGAGAATTTTATAATGTTTTGCACAAATATTTACCATTTACAAATTTAAAATATAACTGAAAGTAAGATAGTAAAGTGTTCTAAATAAAAATCAACTTTTCTATGACACACCTCGCTTCGCCTTAATTAAAATATTGAATTTGAGACCATGTGAACATGGATGCTTTGAAATAACCATCAAGTGAGATATTATTCGGACTATGTTGTTAACGAATGACAAAGTGACCAGATGGAAATTTGTAAGACGTAAACTTAAAATGAGAATAAATTTTACGTGAATTAGGTCGGTGTGTGCTAAAATTAAATTTGAATTTTGTGCCATACTAAGCTAATGGTTATGAAATTCTATTAAAGCCTAAACATAATTATCTCCGAGCGGTGTACAAAGGTTATTATATCGACATCTAATATGCGCGCCACGAATATTAAACCAATAATTTTAATTAAATTCAACTGATACTTTGTCCACCCCAATTTTTTAAACAAAAATATCACCCCGGCCTACTCCGAACTCCCACGATGCCGCCTTTTAATATAAGGCATTGCCTCGGGGAAATTAAAGGAAGCGAAATTAGCATTTTTTTTTGCAAGAATACTCGTTACGAACTTTGGCTCATCTGATGGAAAATATAGCACTTTTGTAGCAGATTTCCGTTTATTAATTGCATGTTTTGCTTGGTATTAAGTCGGAAACGCTAAATAAAAAGGTAGCAAATTAAAATATATAATTAGCATACTTTCACTGAAAGTACTTGCGTCTTTAACTCATATTAGTTTTTCAAAGTTTAAATTTCAATTTCACTATTCACATTTGCAAAAAATTAAGTATCCGTACTTTTTAGGATCGTTTTCTTAAATTCTATATTTTTTACGCACTGAGCATTGGATTGTTAAATTTGCCTACCTACCCTTCACCAAAACCCTATAATACCGAACATGCTGTTGGCATTTGAAACAAAATAAGAAAAATAACTATTAAGATGGTGGATTTGTAATTTGGTTAAGTCTATGTCTAAAGTGGGTAATTAAAAAGTTATGGTGATGAATAAAAATGGCGGAGACCTATTAGAGATGCAGGAAGTTATGAAGCAACTATGAAATAAATTCAGGCAAAAAAGAGTTAAGTGTGCGGATATCGATGTATAGAAACAAAATGGCGAACAGTGCAGATTGGTTGGTGAAAATTAGAGGCCACTAGATTATCTAATTGCTATTCGGAAAAATATATATACCTCGATCCAGTTATTTCAAAACAAATATCATCATTTTGATGTTTTGATAATTTATTTAATTCAAAATATTTTTGTTTTTATTCAAACCATTATATGAACCTAATTACCTACAAGACATGATACACATTTAAAGCAGATTGAGAATAATGTGGGCTTCACAAAAATATATATGCTGCTTGGCAGGTAAAACAACAAAATTTAAAGATTATTTTCAAAATACCATATTATAGTAGAAAAACTTCAAAATTTAAGGATTACATTCAAAATTACTTTTAAATGCACATTGACATATTTTCGCGTGCAGATAAAGGAAACACTTTCAATATTTTCCACGTGGGCATTATTTAATAGATATTGTATTAACAAAGTATAAATAAATAACTTAATAAAGTACAAATTAATGCTCAATACAAAACATTGTTTATTTTAATTATTATTTCATTGGTAATAATTAATATGATTCAATTATATTATATATAATTGAAAATGGGATATCAAAAGCTTGTGATTCCCTTTGAAGCATAATAAAACCCAATACTTGAATTATATATGAAATTGCTTTACAGAAATGGATGGTGCTTAAGTTTAGAATCAACAAATATATTAATTAATTAATTAATTAATTAAACTAATTAATTTAGAGATGCTAAATATTCAGAATATTTCTTTTCCTGAGCCTGGTACAATTTTTGAAGCTTTTTCAACTGACCTTTGCTGATTTCCTTGCCTTCAATGTCATGCGTGGGAAAGCCCTGAAAAGTGTATTAAATGATTATAATAACTCATAAATCATACAAATTACGCCGTACTTTATCATCAAACTTAGAATATTTATCTATCTCAGACTTAAATATTTCACTGGGTGGAATTTTCTTTTGAGCCTCTTTAAGTGCTTGAGCAACAGCTAATTCTGCCTTTTTTCGCTCCCTCTCAAGCGCTTTGTTCAATTCCATTTGCTTCTTTGCCTCTTTTTCTTTTAACAATGATTCTTTATCAACCAATTTTACTGCACATCCTCCACCTAGTATTACTCAGCATTACAAAACTGTCTATTGCATTTGTTTTCACTTACCATCTTTATCTTCCAGCCTTACACCAATATTAGGCAAAATCTCATCACGAATTAGATCACATTCTTTAAGTATTTCTTCTGCTTTCAAACTTCTCGCCTGATTGCGCACATTGCCTCTAAAATCGGCTAAAATACTCAAATAGGGCATTATAATACTCTCAGTATCACTAAAAGATTCTGTTGCACTTGGAAAACCTAATTTGGGAGTCTCAAACATTGTACCAAATATGCGCAAAATTTTCATTACATATAAGGCAACATCTTGCAGCAAAACTTTATCTAATGATTTCTGATCTTTCTGGTATACATTGCAAGCAGTGATTAACTCTTTCAAAGCTTCCAATGCCGTTTTTGTATCTATATTGTCACAAAGTGCAGCATGAACATTCTCTTTAGCCTTTATATACTTTGTGTTTAAATTCAACTCTTGATTTGACCATTTAAAGAAGCTTTTAGAGGTTGTTTGCGATATATTTACATTTCTAGTAGCATCTTTTACATTTAGAAAGAATTCCTGAAAAGAAATATTTTGAAAAACTTAACCAATTCACTGTGGCACTTACATTAAACATTTTCTCATACTGAATTGCACATTCCATTGTATTTGGGCTATAGTCAAGTGTGTCACGCCAAGAATGTAGCAAAAAGGCAAATCTTAGCTGCCTTGCAGTGTACTTTGACAAGGCATCTTGAATACTGACAAAGTTCTTCAACGATTTTGACATTTTGCATCCTGCAATAGTCAAATGACCTGAATGCAGAAAGTATTTCACCCATTCTGGATTCCCAAAATGTGCCTGAAATAAATAATTTAGTATTAATTTCCGCACCTGGACAATTGGACATATAACAGATTTCAAATAAATTATACAAAAATATCAACTGACCTCACTTTGAGCAATTTCATTGTCATGGTGTGGGAATTTAAGGTCAACACCACCAGTGTGGATGTCCAAATAAGGACCACAAATAGCTGAAGCCATTGTAGAGCATTCAATATGCCACCCAGGCCTACCGAGGCTCCAAGGAGATTGCCAAGAAGGTTCACCGGGCTTGCTTTTTTTCCAAAGTGCAAAATCATTGGGGCATCGCTTTTCAATCCTTTGGTCAATGGTTGTAAGGTCACCTTCACCCTCTTGTAAGCTATTTGTGTCCCCATAGGCCTCAGGAACCAGTTTGGCATAATAATGCTTTTCATTTTTGTCAAATGCAGTTACATCAAAGTAAACAGAACCATTGGCTTCATATCCAAAGCCATTGTCTATAATTCCCTTAATATAGGTGATAATTTCTGGAATATATTCACTAACACGGGTAAGAACATTAGGTCGAAGAACCTGGAAGCATTCTGTGTAATATTTTCAGACTCTGTTACTATAAGTTAAATTTACATTCAAAGCATCCATATCCCTATGAAATTCTTCTTCCCAATGCCGTGGCAGTGAAGAAAATATAGCATTATCAGTAACAGTTGGACCATACTTTACATCTAACCATTCTGATAAAGGATCTTTATTAACGTTAATAAAATTTATGGAAGCCTCATCTACCTTTACACAATCATTGCTCCGTATTGCCTTTTCCAACTCCCCAACAGAATGTTTTAATCTAAAAGCAAGTAATATTAAAATAAAATTAAAATGCAATATTGAATTTTACCTGGAAAGTGATTTTTCATACATTTCACACTTATCTGAATCAATAGTCTCTTTAAGTTTAGTAGACAAATTTTTAACTACTTCTCCTGCTTCACTTACAAGTGTTTCCAGATTTCTCTTTTCTGATACATATTTTTCAAATAAATAATTTTGCCTAGCCCTTCTAATTATTTTGTCATCAATATCTGTAATATTCATGATATAAAATATATCATAGCCAAAATAATCAGACAAAACTCTTCTCAATATGTCAAATGTAATATAGGATCTGAAAAATATATAAACAATTTTTTGTAACTTAAAAAATAGTTTAAAAAAAATTTATAATATACCTTGCGTGCCCCATATGCGAGGCATCGTAAACGGTCGGCCCGCAGCTGTACCAATTTACAGTTTTTCCGCATATAGGGACAAAAACTTCTTTTTGCCTAGTTAAACTGTTATACAATTTTAAGACAGGCTGGTTTTTGATGGATGGTACAGTCCATGGTGGTTGTACACGTCTAGACATAATCGCGCTATATAAACTCTAAGTTAAATCTGTAAAGAAAAACGTTTGATTGCATCAGCAACTATCAACTAAAACCCATAAGTTCAAAATGTTTAGGTTATATTGTACCAGTGATAAAAAACTCCTGGTTTTTAGTTAATTGGTTGTATGACCTTGATGTAATTAAAATGATCTGCATGCTATATAACTCCAAAAACCCGTAATTTACCGTGCTTTTTAGCGTGGATCTTTTCACAATTTTAACACCAAATTTTTTTTGAAAAGTTGCTGGTGTCATTTTCATCAGTCGAAAATTACCAGTTAAAAATACATACATTTTTAACATCAATTTTTATCCGATAAAAAGAGGTGGCGAGTGCATTATTCTTTCTTTTTTATTTGAATCTTATAATTTTTTCTCCTTTCAAAACTTAATAGTGGCCTTTTGATTCTAGGTCAGTGGCAGTAATATGAAAAGAAGAAACGGATGGTTTCGGAAAATGTCAAACGAAACTGTCGAGTTACGACAGAAGCAGATAGAAGCAATAAAAAAAAGTCAACAATAATTTTATAAACAGCAAATTCTATTGAAAAATTTTGCTTTGATTTTTAATCTCATGAGATGCCTCTTAGATGCTAATCTCGAGAACTTTAGGTGTTATTAATGTTTTGTAAAAGTGAATTTGCATCATTGATTTTTTTAAATTTCTTGCTAAAGTTATTCTATGAACACTGCAAAAAATAATAGAGGTCCAGGAGAAGCTTCGAGGTATGTTTGTAGTGGATAACTAAATTATAACTGCGTTTTGTTAAGGGTTGTTATTGTGGCACGTTGAGGTTAGGTTTGAAAGTCATTTGTTGGTCACGATTTTTGCAATGCCATTTAGGTTTTCTTAATTCTTTAGTCGCTATGTTTTAATCCTTAGCGACTTAGTGGCCTCGACCAGTAACAACAACGAACATAAGATTGACAATATTGAAAACGATATGAAACGGGCAGCTGCTAGAAAACTGATTGAAAGGTATTTTTACCAGTTAACTGAAGGATGCGGTAATCCAACTTGCAGTAATAAAAACTGTGCATCAAGTGGAGAAGTACATCTGTTCTAAAATTTTGTCAATTTGGAATTAAAAGATAATATTGTAGCTTAAACCTATGACACCCAATGATGCTGCAGGCCATGCATTGCAATTGTTTAAAGAGGACGCCCGTTTGTGTGAGAGGCATCCCAGTAAAATTGCAAGGACTCAATCCAATAAATTGGATAATGATTTAATTAAGAATACAAATGGAACTATTAACACTGTGCCTTTGAGTAATTCTGTTTCAGAGGACAGTGAACAACTGAATAAAAGTGTTAAGCCTAACCATGGTATGTATGTTTTTAGACTTCTATTATTTGATTTGGTATAGCTTTAATTATTGTAAAAGATGATATACCACCCATCTCTTCCTCTAATAAATTTAAGATTTGATTAGCTTCAACTTCTTATTTCAAAAGTTCTTAGAGTTAATTAAGCTTTTAATTGTTTTGTTTTTGTTCTAGACATTTAGGGTGCTTTAGTTCTTTATTAACAAAAATCAGTTATTTACCTGAAGCTATATTCTAAGATCAATTACAGGGTTGATGTGTTTTTCTTGCAGTTTGTTAATAATTTCATAAAATATAACAATATCCAACAAAAACATACTTTTTAAACAATTTGCTACAGTAAGATGTAAGTCCTTTACATGAAATTCTCACATTCCTCGGTATAATATTAAAATTACTAATAGGCAAAGAGAATTAAACCACTAACTAATAGAAAGGCATAATTGATGCTTGGGAGAAAAAATTGGCAGTGTGCCATTCTGTAAATACAAATATAACCTTTAAGGTGTCGGCAATGACTGTTGTTATCCTTTGTAACAACAAAGTGATATTATGTCTAGGCCCAGATTTATTTATTTGGGAGGTATAATCATGTTATTTGTTGATTGTAGTGAGTGAAATTTGTCTTTTTAGCATCTGTCCCATCATTTTTAACAGAACAAACACTATATGAAATTATTGATGAGTGTGAAGCTAACGATAGTTATTCGCCACTTATTAGGACTTTAGGCGAAATTTTCAGCAGTATTGAGAACTTATCCAAAAGTTTTTTGGAAGAATCATCAACCGCCTCGAATACTCCAAATCTTGAAAGTACAGGTAAATTATTTGTGCATATTTGCTGTTACTTCAATTTCATTGTTATGTATGTAAATGAAATTTTAAACATTAAATAAGTATATGAGTATTTATTGATATTCTAGAGAGCTTTAAAGGATTAAAAAAAGAGGAAGTAAGATATTTAGAAGGTGAAAAAGATAAAGATGAAGATTCCTCCGCAGATTCAAGTAAAAACAAACTACTTCCTGTAGATTTATCTTCCCTTCGTCGGGCTTATGCAGCTCTTTTTAAATTAAAAGCGACGATTTTTGAAAATGCATTGGTTAACGCCCTCGTTACACTTGCTGGAAATTTGCAGATGGAATTGCCCATGAGAAGAGAAAAGGATAGTTACGATGATATATTAAATGTTTTGCTAATTGTCTTTGAAATACCATCATTGGGCTCAGGTGATTTTCTTGAGACAGCCTTGCCGGCAATATGTCGCGCTTCCCAATCTTTGCCCGTCGAAGTACAAGCAAGTTTAGCAACAGCATGGTCTGGGAGAGGCAGAGGTGCCATAAGAAACATTTTAGAAAATTTGCAACAATTAATTACATTAAGAGTTATAGTCACGCCTTTCCATAGGGATTTTTGTGTCCAAGATGAGAATGTGGTTACATCAGCAACTAAGTTAATGAAAGTGGGTGTTACCTTATTTTATTGTATGTTCAATTGTATTGGTTTTTAACTTATAGATTTTATATTATGCGAATATGTTAGCTGGCGTACTCGAGTCTCCTACTTTAAGGAACATTGATGATATGAATGACTCTATAGATGAGTCTTTTCTAATGGTTAAACTGAATAAAGCCATTACACCTCAAGATCCCCTGGCCACCCATTTAGGGGTTCATATACTAGACTGCAGAAAACCATTTTTGCCTTTTTCAGACTTTTATAATGAGTTACTTAGCGACACTGTGGAGATGGATAGGGATTTTGCGAATTTTAAAAGTGAATTAGGTAAGTACCGCAATTGCTGAATTTGACAACCGTTACCACAAAAATAAACAATTGTGGCTGTGCCACTCTGTTTAAGAAAGTCCTTAATATATATATTTTTAATTATTTTTCACATTCATTCATTAATATTATTTGCCTGATTTTAACCCAAAATTAATTCAATAAATTAGTCATAGTTTTGATTTAACTTTTAAGATCCATTACAAATATTAAAGTGGGGTTTTAAAGGACATTTTGGTTGTGTTTTAGTAACTACTACATTACATCAGGATTATTTCATTAGATTGGCACAGTTTCTTACTAGAATTTTTGTGTAAAAAATATCGTGGTTTATTTAGCTGGAATATGAAAAAATGGTGTGACTTAAATTAATTTTCAACAGGTATATTTTCGGGTAAATTTAGTTTCATGAATTACCCTTTTATTTTAACACCCGCCACAAAAACTATGGGCCTGTATTTCGACAACAGAATACGGATGTATTCAGAACGAAGGATTAGTATCCTGCAAGCAGTTACCGGTCAACCATCCAACCCATATTTGCGATTAAAAGTTCGCAGAGATAATATCATAGATGATGCACTGGTCGAGGTATGTCTAAATGAAGGAATTTTATATTTAATTACTTTCCATTCTTGGTAGCTGGAAATGATATCAATGGAAAATCCTAACGACCTAAAGAAACAGCTGGTAGTGGAATTTGAAGGGGAACAAGGTATCGACGAGGGTGGCGTGTCTAAAGAGTTTTTTCAGCTTGTAGTTGAAGAAATTTTTAACCCCGACTATGCAATGTTTACCCTGCAAAGTGAGACTCAAACCGTTTGGTTTAACCCCACAAGTTTCGAAAGTACCGCCCAGTTTACCTTGATTGGCATAGTTTTAGGACTAGCAATTTACAATAACATTATACTGGCTGTTAATTTTCCCATGGTATTGTACCGGAAATTAATGGGTAGAAGGGGATCCTTTGAAGATTTGCAGGACTGGAATCCGGTACATAATTTTTTTTATTATTTATAAATTAATTCTTGTAAGGTAGGAAACAATCCTTAAAATTTATGAACAGAAACTATACTGCTACATAATTTACAAAAAGGACATTTTCCCTGAAATATTTGGGTGCATTGGTACATTGGAACTACTATTAGAAATAAGCTTATAAAAGGATGACAACTTGGTTTTACAAGGGTTTGTCAATTTTAGGTACTTTATAATAGTTTAAAGCAAATGTTAGAGTACAATGACCCAGACATAGATGATGTATTTACGCAAACATTTAGAATAAGTTACCAAGATGTGTTCGGTAGCGTAATTCATTACGATCTCAAAGAAAGAGGTGATAAAATCATCGTTACTCAAGAGAATAAATACGTAAGTGGTTGCAGAAAATCGGAGTTGGTATTGCTCATGTACGAAATTATTTTAGGAATTTGTGGATTTGTACGCGGATTTTCTGCTAAACAAATCTGTTGAAAAGCAATTTAAAGCTTTTTACAAAGGTTTTCAGATGGTCGTGGACGAGTCGCCTCTAGAACAATTATTCCGTCCAGAAGAAATAGAGCTACTGATATGCGGAAGCAAAGTAAAACAATTTGAATCTCGTTTATTTTTAATTTAATTACAAAACGTCGTTTCTAGAACTTTGATTTCGACGAATTAGAAAATTCCACAGAGTATGATGGTGGTTATACGAGCGAAAGTCAAATAATTAAAGACTTTTGGTCGGTTGTTCATAGTTTTTCGATGGAGGACAAGCAGAAATTGCTCCAATTTACGACAGGGTCAGATAGGGTACCCATCGGTGGATTAAGTCGTCTAAAATTGGTAATAGCGAAAAACGGCCCAGATTCTGACAGATTACCCACAGCGCATACATGTTTTAATGTTCTGCTGTTACCGGAATATTCGTCCAAAGAGAAACTAAAAGATCGACTGATTAAAGCCATCAATTACTCCAAGGGGTTTGGCATGTTGTAATATAAACTGTGTTGCTTTGTGATTTCCTTTAGTTTAGTATTTAAACACAAAAGCTACTAACTGTAATATTGGTTGTTTATTGATTGAATACATTTTGTCAAATAAATGTAATTTTTATGTTTCTGGTTTTGATTTTATACTGCAAGAAAATAGGCCTGAGCAAAACTTTATTTTACATAAAAATTGACTACATGCTAAGGTTGTACATTTAGTTCATTTGTGAGAATATTTGTCTATATTAGCTGTTGGAAATAACAGATTATATCTGAAATTATGGCATCCCTTACCGAATAAACTTAATGTCTCTGACTGAGCCGTTTTAGCCTAACACATAAACATAATCTTGTATTATTTGTACCTGGAAGAAGGATAACATGGATTGTAATCACGTTGAAATAGAAAATTGCTAGTTAGTGCTAAAGTATAAATTTAAAAATCTTGCAGAAGTCCAACCCTCTCTTCCCACAAAAAAGATGTATTCTTTATGAGTTCGACAGCCCCAAAACTAAACTATGGCACATAGAACTAACTTATTTTTTTAAAACCAAATTGCAGTTTAATGTTCCTGAATTGCACCAACCTAAACCAGTTAGAAGTTTTATACAGAATGCTCAATAACAATTTTAATAAGCGATTGCAAAAATAATGGTTACAGGCTTCCAATTCAGTGTTATTTATAGTCATCAATCATGGTATTGGAAGCTTGTTTCTCCTTACAGTCAATATAATAAAATTAACGCAATTCATTTGATGCATTTATTTTTAATAAATTAGTCTCTACAAATCGAGCACCCTGTATCAATATAATTCCTGAGATTTCCAACTTTAATTTTGAAAAGACAAACCAAATTAAACAAATCAAAATTTTGTATATGAAAATATTACTCTGGAAACCACCAGATATCGTTTAAAACAACAAATCATTAATTTTCTGCAAAAAAAAAACTAGTAATATCCCCTTTGAAACATAACTTCTGCTTACACATAACAAAAAGACACTGTAGCTGCTGTGATCACCTCATGGCCTCAAAATTATCAGATCTGCGTACTGAATCTGGGTCTGGGTAGCTCTCCAAAAATACTGTCACCATGAACACTGTTTGCTAGAGCCTTGATGCTAGCTGCTATGTCAATTTGCTGTTCACCAGGGGACTAGACATAGTAAACTTTAATCCTCTACTCAACAAAACTTAGTTAACTTACAAAATCTGAATCTTCTGACGCCTCATATTGCGTTTTGATTCTAGTGTTTAGACCAAAATTTGGTATGTCCACAGGACATGACTTTGCAATTGTCTGCCCTGGCTGTTTCTGTTGGCGAATGCTAATACCTTGTAGGTCACTCCCTTCTACAGTGTTTATGTTACCATCTAAAGACATTATGAATTATAAATGATTTTTCACAAAATCAGCTCACCTTCATCCTCAGATTCATCACTATTTGCTCCATCAAACGACATTCCAGATTTTGAATAATTTGTAAATTCATCAGCTTCAAATTCAAAAATCAAATCATCTTCTGGTCCTTTGGGTTTAATAGCTGGATTGTTCTTTTGTCTCTTAGGCGACAAAGGAGCCACCTTTAACAAAACAATACTAGTAAAAGCCTTTCCAAAAATTGCCATACAATAATTATGGGAGCACCAACTGAAAAAATATAATGTTAAGGTTTGTCCTAAGGCAATTTAGTTGGTGTTATTTTGTGAAAGTTTCATAAGAAAAATAATCAACATCTGCTTTTATAGTTATCTTAAACAATGTAAAATAATGTAAAAAAATAACCTACCGCGGGGCTTGCTGGTCCAGAAAATTTATTACTGGTGGAAGTTTTACTGGAAGATCTCATAATACTTTTGGGAGACATGATTGGTTGCTCATTTTCATTGCCATTTGTGCCTCGAACCGCAGTGACTAAGATGCTGAAAAGAAAAATTGAGTTTCTTTCTGCATTGCAAAATGGTTCTTACTTTACTAAAGCTTCCCGTTCCTTCTCAACTCTCTCCTTAGCAATGTTTAGAGCTTGATACTGTTCACTAGCAAACTTCCTTATTCTCTCTTCCACTGCGCTTTCTTCATTTTTTACATAATTTGTTACCAACTCATTAAGGCTTTTTACAATGTTATCGAGATCTCTATTGCGATCTAAGAAATAGAATATAGGTGAATCAAAGCAAAAAATTCTGAACTAAATCTGTTGCATAGTAGTTTCGGAACAGCACAAAGAATTGTATTAAATACACTAATAACCTTTAATTAGAATCACTCACATGCTTCAAATGGTGGGTTATCTGGTCCTAGCTCTATGGGATTAACAACTATTTGAAAAACTGTTGAGAATGAATCTCCAAGTCTGATATTCTTGACAGCTTCAGCATCCTGGAAAGGACAAATTTATAAAGTAAATTTTGTTAAGTATCTCCAAGAAATTAATTACCTATGAATAATTAGTTTAATAGAATGACTTACCAAAAGTTTGGGATACATCAAAACAAGGCCTGCACCTTTTTCTAGGTGAACAGCGTGAGTGTGAATATCACAATTGAGACAATGGTTTATAATCCAGAATCCAATTTTTCTTGTGTTAACTAATCCTGAATATTTTTTATCCACACTTATTAATCTGCTTTTATAAAAAACATTCTGAAACATTGTTTATTATCCATATATTGATTCTTCAAATTACTCGGTAATAAAAGAAAATGATTAGAAAGCTTATAAACTAGTAATTATTAACTCACTTGCTTAAAAAAAATGTCACCTTTTTCCTCTTCTGAAAGAGCAAGCGATTCTTTTGTGACCTTTTCAATATCGCTACCTAGTTGGATAGATATATTTAAACAGTTACAGGCCAACATTTTTAAAAATTTTCTCCTACTTTATTAATGAACCAAATTATTCATGAATTTTTTGGATCTAAAGTTATTGGCAAACAATTCCAAATAATGCTATTAAAATGTCTAATTACTGTCTTTTCAATTTATCGACGACTAATAGCTCAAAAAGTTTAATTTTAGAGAAGCAATGGTATAATAATTAAGATTTTTTTATTATTGATAACAAAAACACAAAACGAGATAAAACACTGAACTAAACTTTTATGGAGGAGTGGGAGATTATAGCAAGACATAAACTTTAACAGCTGGGACCACAGAAATAAAAGATGATGCTCACCATGGAAAACTTTTTTTAATCTGTTATTTCCATGTTCATGCGCAAAACCAAGGTTAGGTTAGGTTTCACATATCAGACAAAAACTTTGATCTTACTCTAGCTGACGTCATAAATTGTAAACATTGAATACACAATAAAACCTGAAAATAATTCGCTGCTCAGTTAAAACTAATATATTATTAGATCGACAGAAAAAAAAAATGTGTTCATCCGTTCGTTGGTTGACCCTGGAATTAAACTTAATTGCGGACACGTATGAGTGATATGATGATGCCAAGTGATATTTTGGCGAAACGTCAGGCGCATGATCCTACTCCAGGGTCAAACAACGAACTGATGAACACCCGGATTACCACCACATATATATATATATATATATATATATATATATATATATATATATATATATATATATATATATATATATATACTAGCCACAATCACGTTGTAGTTTATAGTTTTGGTTAGCAGTTATTTTATAATTGTTAGCTAATTAGGAAGAAATATTGCAAAATAAGCTTAAATGACTTTATTTAAACAATATTAAGACATTTGACTTAAATATTCCATTTGCGCAGCAGTTACACTTTTCATTCCATCCTGTATGGAAGTTAGGTTGATTTTCCAGGAATGCAGCAAGTCACGAAGTTGCTGCCATTGGGCTCGACCAAAAGTTCGATGCATGGTACTTGAAACAAATACTTTGCGGGCCGATTGGTCCATACGTGCGCTTACCAATTTTGTTTTGAGAACTGAAAAAAATATATGACTGCAATATACAATAATTATGATTGCAAAATACCTTCAATAATAAAGGATTCCACTTCTTCAGGTTTTATTTGAAGTTCCTTTTCAATTATATCAAAAGAAATTTCGGGTGTACTTTCGGCCAACTGCATAAAACTTAGCAGCCTCATTTTTCTCATGTTTTGCTCATGATTCAAACCCTGAGATGTCACAAATTCCTTGTGTTCTTTGTAAAATTTCAAATAAGCAGCCAAATTTTCACTGACAAATATGTTTAGCAAATCGTGAATTAATTCACCCTTGAGAAAGCTCACAGGTTTTAAAGATAACAAAGGATCAAGAAGGAATGTGTTTGGATCAGCTATGGCTGAAGTAATACAACGTATTGCATCTTCTCTAGCGTGAGAAGCATTTTTATCAGTGTAGGTACCCAGCAGCTCTATCATGACTTTTGCAGCTTGCTCACTGTAAAAAAATTACACATATTTCCACAATGAGATAAAACTAGTCTTTGGTAGGCTCTACCTTTGATTGCTCTTCAATAACACTTCGTGCAAAAGTCTATATAACTTCTGAAGTTCTTCCCCTGATAAAGGGCACTGGTTAAACTGTTGCTTTAAATGTTCTATGTCTTGGAAAATAGATCTAACCTGGTCTGTTTGCTTTGCAATCAGAAGCAGGTGGTAATAAACAGGATATCTCATTGGAGATTTCTCATCTAGAGACTGGTATAGCAACCATAAGCTAAAGATACAAATGAAAAAATACAGTTACCAATATTTTAGCCTTACCGATAGACTTACGCTCTTAAACAAACCTCCCCCAATTTTTGACCTGGGGCTTTTGTTAGCTTTTCACAAAATGCAAGAATAATATTTTCTGCGCGGTCAGTTGGAATCTAAATAAAAATGAATTAGATCTTGGAGCACCCAAAACTTGGTTTACATTATACCAAAACCATGATAGAAACAATATCATTCAGAACAATTTCAACTTCTGATTCTTGACCCTCCTTGAAGCACGCCTCGCACACACCGATAATTTTATGTAAATCATCTTCTATTCCCTTGGGAGACTTTTCTTCCGAAATTTCAGCTCCCAAACCTTTTAAATAGGCCCGCAATTCTTGCGCCTGAAAATAGTTGCCATGTTTGGTCAAAATACCTCTTACAACAAATATAAGTATATAGAGTACCTGATCCTCCAAAGATATGTCGATGAAAACCGGCGGCACCTGCATGCTTCAAAAACTGAAAATACAATACAAAATAAATGTGACAAGCACACTCTTCCTAAATAAAAAGTGTGGTTCCTACGAGCGTCATCTTCTTTTATCCATAACTCGAAAGTGAACAAAGTATATGATCATGCTGCGAGTCTTCGTTAATGGATGTAAACAAGAAAAACAGTTTACGTATTGGGAACATTTACTGCCGTGGCTACGAGAAATTAAGGAAAACGAGAATATTTTGGACTGATAATGTTCGTTTAATCAAAAAAATAGACAACAAATATTTATTTTATTTTTCCTAAACTACAATCATTGGCTAATTTCCCAAATTAATGTACAACCACGCAAAACAATTGAAATAATTATATTAACACTCTTAAAATGGGACAATGGTACCCATATATTCCTGTTTTTCCTTATTTGGGTGTATAAACCTACCTAGTATCTACTTAATGTCGTTCAGTTATAACATTTATTAATCGCCAGGCGTTAAACTTGATTGAACTTAATAATTATTTATCAATTAAATCGCTTATATTGCCTATATGTATACTTACCATGTAGGTATATGAGCGAAGGTCAACCCTTCATATCCTGTTTTACATGCAATTTTGATAAGAAATGGGTGCAGGCGTAGATGTATACGCCATTGGTATAAATGGCGCGTTAAAACTTATCACATATTTGTTAACCGGAATATGAAGAATATACATAACGGAGTATGAGACTATTTCAAGATAGTCATCTCGAACAAGCATTGGTATTATATACAGGGTGTTACCATTGCACAAAAATTAAAACTGTTTAAAAGGTTTAAAGGTAGTTTGTTATATAAAAGTTAGGGAGATATCGTGCTACAAATATGGAGGAAAATATTGTTTTTATTTCCTATCGAAAATATTAAGGAAGAATTACTATTATAAAAAAATATATTTCAATTTTTTCAAAATGAGTGAAGGGGATGGAGTTAGGCTATCCATGTCATTCCTTTTAACGAAATTTACACAAAAACTTATGCAATGACAAGGAAAATTAGTAAGCATTTAGTAAAAACTTACAGTTTACAAATAGCTAACAATGCGTAAATCAAATAAAAACACAAGACATCTAAGACAAAACAAAAATACAATTTTTATAGTCAGTGTTGAAAATTTAATTTTTTTTATTTAATATTTTTTATCTTGTTATGCATTGCTATAGATTTATTATTTTTATTTGGAAAAGGTAAATATTATGAAAAAATTGCAAGCAACCCCTCAATCGAAATTTATTTCCCTTCCCCTTCATTCAAGTATAAAAAATAAAAAATATGCAGAAAGTGTATTTTTATAATAGTAATATTTTATCTATGTTCGTTTTCAGGATAAAAATAAAGTCCTTATTTTTCTGCATATCTGTAGGGCGATATCTCCCTCATGGTTGACCGTCGACCTCCCGTTTATATTTAACAAACCATCCTTTATTTTAAATGACGAATCATCCCCTTAAGTTTTCCGCATTTGTTTTGAAACACCCTGTATATAGTTATTATATTATACGTGAATATATATATTGGCCTCATCATACGCAATAATAAGAAGTGTAAGAGTTTCACATTTTTGAAACGCGCTGAATGAAATATTGTTAACAAGTTACATGAAGGTTTTATATGCGCGCATTTTAAACAAAGGTGTTTTTACGTTTTTCCGGCTCACTTACGGATGTAAATATAGAAGTTTAGTTAAGTTTTGCGATTTTCTAAAAGAAAACATTTTTTCCCATATTTTATATGTAAATCATTTCAGTACGAATTATCTCGATAAATGAAGTAATAAAATAACGAGAATAATTCATTTATTTAAATGAGCAAGAGAACAACCAATCTATAAAAATTATTTAATTTAAATTTCATCAAAAAATTTAACGTGGTATTAAACTTTCCAAATCCCTTGACATCACTGTCGCCCTTTGACGTATTAATAAAAGCAACCGTACTGATCAGTCTGTCTCACTGCACCATGGCCTGTTCACAGGCGCCCTCCAAATAATTAGTAGCGATAATAGTCATTTATACCAACGCCTGCCTACCAGTGCACGTTCTTCCATGATAATTGTTAGAGACAATCCGTCTCCCTTAACTACGAACGTTTATCTTTTCACAATAGACCAGACGACGGCCTCAATTATCCGTAAATTTAAAGGCAATCACGCTTTCTTGCCGAGACAAATTAACGGCGATCGGCGCTGTCCTATCAGAGCTTTCTCGGCGAACGTGTCCGCTTCGAATTTCACTGCGCATCTTTATCGCGACCAACGTGCAATAGCGGTTTAACTTGCCCCGTGTTGTTTCTTGTGGCTATGAGATTTACATTCACCATTCACGCTTTGGTTACGCCGCGTTTAGTCTGTGTGTTGTCGTTCGTATCGTATCGTGGCCGCTCACCTGTCTGGTAGCAGCAACAGGTTAACGCGAATACCGGCTCTATCAACGAAACCAGGACGGATGGACTCGCCTCTATAGTAGTTAAATTACGCGGCCCATGACGTGCGTTTAGAATGTTCCGCGCGTGTGGATTTTTTCCATATGGAAAGTCTTCCAGTAGTGTAAAACGCACTTGATAGGAAGACGGTGGTTGTTTTATTGTTTGGGTAGTGGAACAAAGTAAATTTTGATAAACTGAAACTGTACCGGAAGTTCTGTTATTAACTCCGCATCATGGAAACTTGTTTCGAAGTGGACAAGTCGTTATACGACATCGGATCCGCCGACGAACTTAAGGAACTGTGGGAGTCCGATTTGGATCCGGTAAGATCCTCGGAAATAAATCCGTTTTTTCGATTTTTCGGCGAAAATGGTAGCGAAAACTGGTTTCGGATAAAGGTTATTCGGTTAAACCTGTTCGGCATATATAAAGGGCAAAGAAAAATGGAATTATAAATTCATAGGATTAATAATGTCGAGATTATGCGTAAGCCTCGCGATTGATTTAAAAATGATTCGAGTATTTTATGGGCCAAGGCCTGTTATGGCCTTTACCGCTTTTTGCGGCGATTGCAAAAAAAAAATATAGTTTTAGGCCTTTAGAAAAATTTTCCACACAAAAATGGTTCAATACACTAAAACCAAGTTTGGAGAAGAAAATCATCAGGATCCTGCCAATGCAGAAACTTATCTGACTCCCGTAATACTCGTTTTAGAAACGGATTTGACCATACCAGAGTATGGTACCAGAGTATGGAAGATCAACAGAACCGCGAAAAAACAAATTCAACCTAAAATCCATCCCCATGTTTACTGAGGTATTTTAATGCATACAACTTCCTACTACATATTTAGTTGTATTTTTTCCTTAATATTTCCCAAATACTTCTCTGTTCTCTGTTGGTCTCTTTGAGCAGGACCGCTATTAAATTATTCGTTCTTGAAATGCGTTCAAGTGTTTTGTCGTTTTCCAAGCTCTCAGACAGTATGGCACAAGAAAGTGGATATACCCTATAACTATTAAACAGTTTCAAATCGCGACCTTCAATCAATGAACTTCCGGTTTGACCGGAAATGACAGTAACTTTTGAGTTCTAATCTGCACACTCGGTAAAGTAATTTAGGACATTATTTTACTATTTTTGGATTTTATTTGATTTTTAAAATTAAATATGTTGGGTGTTTTTCACTTAACTCCAATGATGACAATCTAGTAAAAAAAATGTACGGGAGTTTCATAAAAATGCTTTATTTTAAAGCTTATTTACACGTATTTTAAATCCAAAATTGAAAAAAAGTACTGGCTGTGTGACTAAATATTGAATCTTCCAAATTTCAAATCGCGAACTTGTACAGTTTTAAGGTTTTCCCATTTCTTATTACTTTGTTTTTTGAAATAGTAAATAAAATAACTGTACATTCAAAAAAGTGCATGGCAAACTTGGATAATAGTCCTACATTTAGTTCTAACTTAAGGTAAGTTGTGGCATAGAAATTGACAATTAAGCTAAACACGCGCTAACAGTAAGCAACATTTGGTTTTATCTCAAGGTAGTCCTGCAGCAGCATCAAATTTTGGAGTACAATTTAAGAAAAATTGATTGAAAATTGTCCGGCGACGCTACGTTTTATGAAGCACGAATTTCTTCAAAATTAAACGAATTAAAAGTAAGATTAGATAGACGAAGGACTTCTCGAGAAAACTTAAAATTTGTGATAATAAATACGAATCACAGGGATTATGTTTTATAGAATGTATCCGCAGGTTGTGCCGTTATCAGTACTTTTATCATATTTTGTAATAACGAAAGTAATCTCGAAGGTTACAATCTGCACCATTGAAATATATCTTTGATATAAGTACTTATTTTCATTATCGATATCTCAGTCATAAAAAGTTCTAGCTTCCTTGTTTTTAAGTCAATTTTCTTCAAGGTTTACACATTTTTATTTTAAAGTATTTGAAAGGTAAATGCAAAATACACAGCAAGCTCTAAAACCAAAGCAGTATATTAGCTTTACAAAATCGTAGTTTTTTTTACTTGCTTTTTACAAACTTGCACTTTCTCTGTTCTTGAAAACGTTCGTTGGATATTCGTCTGTTGGATTGGATTAATTTAAAAAATATTTTAATTTTAAAAGTTTCTAATTGTAATCTTCATATGAAATGAAAAACTCCTGCATTAAAAAACACTTTTTATTGCCCGGTTTTGTTATGTAGAATGATCAATTTTTATATTTTTTATGGCACAATCGACCCGCGAATGGTTTATAGATCCGGAAAATTACTTAAAGCAACTATGCTTAGTTGTAGTATTAATTAATTGAAATTGCATCTGACCGCATTCGAAAGAAACGTCTAAAGCATTTCTACAGAAATGAGGTCGTGCCATGAATAAAAGCGGTTGAACTTTAAAACAGCTCGCGCTATTTACTGTTAATTGTTACAATAGAAGCTATAGCGAATTTGCCGAATGTGGTTGTGCCGTATCGACAAAAAATAACGACCATATGCAATATCAGCTGCAACCAATAAATCAATTGCATGAATATTACCGGGTCAAGGACCCTCATACTGTATAGTATAAAGTATTCTTAGAAAAGAGTACAGTGACGTCATCTGTTGTTGTGTAAAATATTGTCCATCTATCTTAAACCCCGTTAGGGTGATTTGCATTAAACTTGTGAATTCGTTTGTGTTCCAGGATATTAATAAGATTTCAGTTTTGATCAATTTTTAGTTAATATATGAATATATACATTAAAAAATATATTTTTATTAGCTACCTGAATCAATATTATAACAATAAAAATTCAACTCAATTCGCAAGTCTAGTGAGAGGTCAAATCACGCACTCCTTTAATATGTTAATTTGTACTGTACGCTAGATCTACAAAGCAAAAATAGAGGGATGATTTTCGCGCAGGAAGCAATTACTTCCTTGCTTTTTGACTACAATAAAATTGCTCTGATAGATTGAGCCTCAAAACATTATAAGCTGTAAAATGTTTTTTCTTTTTAATGTGGGAAAATGTTTATTGCCATGTATGTACAGGATCTCGAACATATTGTATGTTTACATCACATTTACGTCTGTTTTGAAGAACTTTACCCCTCTAGCAAATTTCCCGTAATTTTGACTAAAAAAGCAACTAAATTTGGCATTTATTTCGAAAACGTTTTATTGGTTTTATGGTCAATTTACAAAAAATCATTTTCGGTATTCGAATCTTTATCATTACAAATAAAATTATTTTGCAAATAGCACCCAGCTTAGCCTTAAATTTAATGTCTTGCGACTTTGGAAATCTCATATAAGTAAAAAATCGAAATTTCACTTAAAATTTAAGGATGCCGTATTCAAACAAGCAACCATTGGCTCTCTACATTTCCTGGTTAACATTTTAGGATGGGGGTCTGGTCTGACCTGGCTGCGGGCTTGTCCTAGGATTCCTTTCTTTTAAAGCTGGCTTCGTGCTCTCAGTCGTTTGGTTTCCGGGTCGCCCTTGTCCTGTGGACCCTCGACTATCCCTTTTTTAAAATGTCAGTCATATCGGTCGAGTGTATAGTATGACCAGCGATGTATCGAACTGGGTTCTTTCGCCAAAAAGTATGAGTTTGATAGGTATCGTCTGTTCATAGATATAAGAAAGTGACCAATTGCTTTTGAATGAGATTAGGCAAGGGTGGTCAATAACATACAATGCAACAAGATTATTACCTAAAGTTTCGGAATTTAAATACAGGTAAAATTGTGGTCCGTAATAGAAAATAATTTTATACCTACCTGTGTTTGATATTCTTTGGTTTGGTATACTACTTAGTTTAAGTTTATTAGTAAGTTTTGAGTTTAAGTTTATTAGTAATCAGCGTGTGTTGAATCGTGTGCGAATTATGCAAAATATGTGCGAGTCTAGTGTATCTCAGGAGATGCTCCCGCCCAAATGTATTGAGACTAAGGAAGTGATAAACAATGTTTATTTGACTCTCATTGAACGTGGTGCCAGCAAGCAAGCATCTTTAGAAGAAACGGCCACATTGACGAAAATTCCAATATCAACTGTATGGAAAATTGTGAATAATCCTATTTCAGCGAAGAAGAAAAGAAGCGATGCTGACATTTTTTCGAGTGTAGATGAAAGTGATCAATATACGGCGTAAAATTTACCAGTTATACGAGGATCAAAGCGTGCCTACATTAGATATCTTAATTAGGAGGCTTAAAAAGATGAAACCTGTGTTAAATATGTCAATATGACCTTATGGGTTTTAGATTTTATAAAATTGACAAAAGGCAAGTTTTAATGGAATCTATTAGAATTCGGAAATGGCGACTGGAATATCTAGAAAAAATTAGGATTTACAGAGAACAACAAAGGCCAATTATTTACTTGGATGAAACCTGGTTCGACACTTATGTTACCCCGGAAAAGGATTGGGTTGACTCAACTGATAAGTGTAAAACAAATAAGTGTAAAAGAATAACTATTTTGCTTGCTGGCTCTAAAGGGTGGTTGGATTCCAAATGGACTTTCTCTGTCTGCGAAAAATATTAAAGATTCTTCTCTGGATTACCATGAAGACACCACCGCTGATTTATTTGAAAGTTGGTTTAAAAACAATCTAGTTCAAAACATTCCTCCTAATAGCGTAATTGTAATGGACAATGCCAGTTATCACAGTAGACAGTTGACTAAAACCCCTTCCTCATGTAACACAAACAATCCAAAACTACATGTATAATAACGACATTTATTTTCACGAAGATTATACCAAAAAGCAATTAATTGAGGTTCTACAAAGCCTGAACCTACAAAAGGAATACGTCTGTGATAATTAAGGCTTTAAGGCTTCCACCTTACCACTGTATATTTAATCCCATTGAACATGTTTGGCACCAACTGCAATCTGCCATTCGTCGTAATAATGTTTTTCGCCGTGTTAACTCCAATGTCCTCAAACTTATAGAAAGCGACGTTTTTAACATCCCTCCACAAAGTTGGGCAAATTCTGTTAAACATATAGAAAAAGCAGAACAATCGTATATCCATATTGCAAATAACATAGAACAAATAATAATTAGAACATGCGATGATAGCGATAGTGATAGTGATATTATGTGAATAATTTTAAGTAATTTAAGAGGTAATAAAAATAATTTGTAATTTTATTTTAGATTTAAACATAAATGCATACATATATAAATAAATATTGTTTAGTATCTTTCCTAACAAAACCCCAAATAATTAAATTATAAGCAAAGTACGGACCTGTTCGGCCATATTTCATTCTTACAGCTTGCCCGGGTCTTTCCTTAATTCGT